CATATTTACCAGCCTATAAAATGAAATGTCTTGATTGCATCTTGTTCTAGTCCTGAACTTAATAGAGAAAATACGTATATGCAAACCACTATACTGAACCTTTTTTCCTGACAGCTCCATGTCAGCACAACTGGGTAAGGCCCTCAACCCCACCCCCCCATGCTTCCAGGACCAAACTCATAAATTTGAGCCCACCTGTAGCCTTGGCATTCCTTGTTTTTTCCTCTACTTATGTTAAAAAAATTATATAAATTTAATTTGCTTTACTGCACAATTGCCAGTTGAAATAATGCAATGTTGAATAACAAAAAATGGCCTGGTCATGAAGGGGAGCTCTATGCTCTACACTGCTCCACTCTGTATACTGTGCTATGAGCTCTATACTCCCCATTGCTCCACTCTGTATACTGTGCTATGAGCTCTATACTCCCCACTGCTCCACTCTGAATACTGTGCTATGAGCTCTATACTCCCCACTGCTTCATTATGAATACTGCACTGTGAGCTCTATACTCCACACTGCTCTACTCTGTATACTGTGCTGTGAGCTCTATACTCTACACTGCTCCAGAAGTGTACAAAATCCTCCAGAGGTCAAGCGATTCTTCATTTTAACACCTTATAAAGCAATCCACGGAGCTGGCCAGAACCAATTCTTGAGGGAGTCTATTCCACATTTTCACAGCTCTCGCTGTGAAGAAACCCTTCTGTGTTTGGAGATTAAATTTATTTTCCTCCAGATGATATTTTAGTGAAAAACATATAAGATCCATAAAGCTTTTATCAGAATGTGTGTCACTGGTTTGCAGGACTCTGCCACCTTGTGTTTCTTTTAACATCCTGCAGTCTGAATAATAGCAGGGTGTTACATGTGTATAAATGCTCCACATGGAGTTTGCCACCTCCTCTTGACCTTTTGTTATCATCAAAATTGTGGCTTTCAAGTAACCAACTTTCATGGAGGACATTATAACTCCTAGCCAGTCCACTCCTCCCTTTGGACTGATTTGCATACAACATTAACCTTTAAAGCAATTATAAAACAGTAGACTACATTATATTATCTGGTTCATTCAACACTCTTTTTCTGCTTACGGGAGCAATCAACAGAAGCACTCCAGCAACACTAGACTTTACTAGCAAGTTCAATCTATGACAGTTATCACAATACTGCATTTATTTTTGTGGGGAAGTGATTATTCTTATTAATATATACTGCATAAGTGTCACTTGCTTCTATACAGGGAATGTAGTGTATGGAGTATTTGTCCTCAGTTTGGTCGCTATGTGGTGCAATTGGGAACTTAACCAATCTTTTTTCACTTGCTATGCCATTACACCCCCCATGCATCATCTCATTAGAGGTATAGCAGCCAAACCAGACTACTCTTACATTCTAGCTTTCCAGATTCTGCAATCTGCTTTTAAATGGTCTTGTTTCTTGCACATAAAGTATTCATGTGTTTCTTGTGGTATGTTACTGTTTTAACATCTTTTGGCTCCATGCGCAGTAGCATGTAAAAAAAAAGTTGGATAAAAAACACTGGTAATAGCATTTTAGTATTGTTTAGAAGCCTATAGGAGCGTTAGTGTTTTATTAGAATTTTTACAGTACATGTAGAAAAAAAAGCTAGAAAAAAGCTATTAGGAGCATTTTAGTATTATTTAGCAGTGTTTATGAACATTTAGGAGCATTTAGCATTAGTTTCTGCTGTAAAAATGCTCTAAAAAACTCTACAATAACAACTTTTTTTTGCTCCTAGATGCTGAAGCTCAAAAAACGCTAATAGCCTAAAGTAGTGTGCATGGACACATAGGATAACACTATTTAGCTTCCAGGAGCAAAAAATGCTAATAACAGCTTCTAGAAGCTTAAAAAAATGCTAGTGTGCATGGAGCTTTAAAGCAGACTCTGCAACAGAAGCACCATCAATATTAATGCTTTCTGTTTTATGCTTATATTCATCCACAAGCTTGCTCTTAAAGTATTCCAATGTCAGTTCATCATTTGGATGTGCATAAAGTGTTGTGAGAAGCATTTGATAAATTTCTGTTAAACCATTAAGTAATAGTGCTGTGACATGAAAGTCTTTTATATCCTCTCCTGTACCTCTCGGGTTCAGTAATTTCCAAGGTGTATTTTATCAAAAACCACCTCCTAAACAAATGTGATTTACAATAACCCACAACACAAACAACACCTTCCCCTGAAGGTGTAACAAATTTATATATGTGAAAGTGTTATAAGCAAAAATTAAACTTTAACTAAAAACTGTGAAGTCCATCAATCAGTCCATCAAACAGTTGTTAACCCTCACTGTCCTATAACATCATAGTTCAAAATGTTCAGAAATTCTTCTAACGATCTCCCATGTGCATGTACCTCAAAAAAAGGAAAATAACATATAGTGCATTATCCTTTATATAACATAAACTTAATTCATCTCACACAATCCAGTGACTAATAGTGAAAGTGGTGAAAAAACCGTGAAAAACTGTGAGATAATCAGTGAAAACACTGTGTATGTTTTTTCACCACTTTCACTATTAGTCACTGGATTGTGGGAGATGAATTAAGTTTATATTATATAAAGGATAATGCACTATATGTTATTTTCCTTTTTTTGAGGTACATGCACATGGGAGATCGTTAGAAGAATTTCTGAACATTTTGAACGATGATGTTATAGGACAGTGAGGGTTAACAACTGTTTGATGGACTGATTGATGGACTTCACAGTGTTTATTTAAAGTTTAATTTTTGCTTATAACACTTTCACATATATAAATTTCCAAGGTGTGCCTTATGCAATCCTGCATATTCTGGCCTTTCATCAGCTTGGTTTGGTATAGCTTTCTATTCAAATACAGTTTATTGCTGAGATTAGCTCTTTCATGCACCTTTTATAATCCTCCCCACATTTATTTATGTCAGGGCTGGGCTGTGGAACGGACAGGTAGGCCTAGTGGCAGGGTAACGCACTGGCTGACGACAACCACCACCAACAGACCGAAGTCCCTCAGGGCGCGGAGTCTAAGTCCCAGGCTGCCCTTCACCAGGGCCCCTGATGGTGGGGATGGACTTGATGCAGCCAGGAACCAGGTCGCGGCCCCCGAGACACCCCGGCTGCGGTAATGGCCGCCGCCAATGGCGTGTAGCTGGTGAGAATGACAATAGCGTAGTCAGGCAAGCCGGGTCGACAACAACGGGACAAAACGGTACAGAACAGTAGACAGAGAATCACAGGTCACGGGCGGGTTCAGCAACGGAAGGTCAGATCGAAGGAAAACACAGAGAATAGTCTTAGTCACAAGCCGAGTCAGATACCAGAAGAATCACGAGCGTATACACAGAGCTGTAGCAAGACAAAGACACAAGACACAAGTGCAAAGAGCATGTGCGGATCACAGGCTTATTTGTACTCAGCCACACCCCTCTGGGGGATGGACCTCAGAGACCTGAAGGCATAAAAGATTCCCATACCATGCTCAGCAGAAATCCAAGATGGATGCCAGCACATGGAGTAACATAACCTCTGGGAAAAGGTAGGACCTTGACAATTTAGCAGTTTCTCACTTACATATAAATATGATTTGCTTGCCTTCTGTGCTAAGAGAGATTGTGCTCTGAGCTTTCTGACCTTTCTCCACCCACTCATCTGAAGGGTGTTCTGGCCTGACTTCATTTATACATTTCTGCGTACCTTCTCTTATTAGCAGCATTTTCATTTTGAATTTCCAAGACTGATAATTCAGGTTTGTGAGATTTGCAAATTATTATTATTATTATACAGTATTTATAAAGCGCCAATGGTTCGCTCAGCGCTGTACATTACAAAGGGGGACAGAACATGTGACAGAACAATAACAATACAATACAATGCAAAACATGAGGGGATTGAGGGCCCTGCTCTTTCGAGCTTACAATGAAAGCTTTGTTGCAGCTGTGTTACTGGTCATTTTCTTTTATTCTTTTGCAGTCTTCTTTCTGTTGCTGTATCTTGCATGTATTTGCTGTAACAGGCTGTGACTGGGAAACTGGGTCCATAACCTTTTAGAGATTCTGTATATTGCCCTACAGAACAGACAGTGCACAGTCCACATGTGCTTTTCTGCTTGCTGCCATCTACTGGTTGAAGAATATACAGTACTGAATACTGATATAGTTGTTGCACAGAACACATGAACACTGTATTCCAACAGTATGCAATCAATAGAAATTAATTTAAAAAAATTATCACAGCTCCAAGTTGCAGCTTTACCACAGTTGCACCAACTCCTCTCTTGTACTGAAACTGCTTACTCTGATTTCACTGAACACCGCAAGCTTCTCACAGTGTGCATTAGGATATGCAGCGAGTCAGACAGAGCCCACTTCATTTCCAGGCTGTAGGACATCCAGCGTTACCTAGCGCTTTTATCCCCAGCCTTGCTGTCATTGGCCTGCCCCTTTCATTCTTTTGATTTCAGTTCTTTCAATTATGGAGGCTCAGCATCATATGTGAGTGTTACCAAATCCTCCTGTTTTTAGAAAGCTATGTACAATACTCTGCCAGTCCCTAACACCAACTATGATCTCACATTTCAGCGCATCACACTGTTTTTTTTTTTTTTTGTTAACTTTCTTTGAAGTGCACAAAGTGACACTTCATTCATGATACACAGCGTTGCAGTGAGTTGAGCCTACCTGTGCCCTGTAGTAATATGCAGCATGTTTGCATTGCCGCAGCTCGCTGAACCTCCTCTTTGAGTTGTGCTGCAGTGAGAACAAGACACATAGAAAACAATTGTTTTCTATGTGCCTTATCAGTGACAGGAATTCATCTAGTGTGGAACAACGCCAGCTGCTGTGCAATGTGTGAACAAGCCTTTAAGTGTATGTAAATCTAACAATGACCTTCTCTTATTTACTTTATTTTCGACTGTTAAATATATAATTGAAAGCTTTTAAAAATCCATTCATTAAAGTAATTCTAAAGGCTTAATTTAAAAGTAAAATAAAATAAAAAATAACAAAAATGTCCACCTGCTGTGGTTATGTAGGGATCCTCTTCTTCTTGAGACCCACAGGCTCCTCCTTCCTGTCGGGTGCCCCCACAGCAAGCAGCTTGCTATAGGAGAACCCGAGCATGCACACTCCCTAGCCATGAGTCAGCCCCGCTCCCTCGCTCTTCTCATTGGCTCACTGGCTGTGATTGAAAGCCAATGGCACAGAAGGGGCCAATGGCACAGAAGTTTTTTTGCCTTCATGCATAGTATGCATGAAGGTTAAAACATTGAGCCTTTACAACCACTTTAACCACTTTGCAACCGTGCTATAGCCGAATGACAGCTACAGTGTGGTTGTCCAGTTCTGGGAGGGTGTCATGTGACGTCCTACCAGAACACACCCCCAGCAGCCCGCACCTGGAGCTCTCAGTGATCCCTGTGTCCTATCGACACAGCTGATCACATGACATGTTAAAAGGGCAATCACAGTGCCCTTTTACCACATGATCAGCTGTGTCCAATGACAGAGCAGATCACAAAGTAAATACAGTTCCCGGTTACAGCAGCGCTGTTCTCACGCTGTCACAGCATGAGGAAAGTACTGCCAATAACCAGCAATTGTCACAGAAGACACTCGCACTGATTGTCAGAGCTGCCCACCAGTGCCCAGCAGTGCCACCCACCAGTTCCCAGCACTGCTACCCACCAGTGCCCAGCAGTGCCACCCATCAGTGCCCAGCAGTGCCAATCATCAGTGCCCAGCAGTGCCACCCGTCAGTGCTTCCCAGCAGTGCCACCCAGAAGTTGCACACATCAGTGCTCAGCAGTGCCGCCCGGCAGTGTTGCCAGTCAGTGCTACCAGTCAGTGCCGATCATCAGTGCCCATAAGTGCCGCATATCATTACCCATCAGTGCAGCCTGTCAGTGCCCATTATTGCTGCATATCAGTGTAGCATTATCAGTGCCTCCTCATCAATGCCCACCCGTGCCACCTAATCAGTGCAGCCTATCATTGCCCATTAGTGCTGCCTATCAGTGCCCATCAGTGCACCCCATCAACGCACATCAGTGAAGGAGAAAAATTACCTGTTTGCTAAATTTTATAATAGAAACAAAGAAAACATTTTTTTTTCAAATTTCTTGCTCTTTTTTTATTCATAGTGCAAAAAATAAAAAGCATCCAGTGGCAATTAAATACCACCAAAATAAAGCTCTATTTGTGTGAAAAATGATAAATATTTTGTATGGGTACAGTGTTGCATGACTGCACAATTGTGATTAAAACTGCAACAGCACTGAAAGCTGAAACTTGGCCTGGGCACGAAGGGGGTAAAAGTGCATGGTAGGCAAGTGGTTGAAGTATAACTAAAGGCAAAACTTTTTTTTTATTAGTTTTCAATAGAGTGGAAGTGGAATTACTTATACCCAGTGAAGTGACTGACCTCGTGTGATAAACAGAGATGATCCAAATCCTTGTATATATGTTTTACCTGTTTATCTGCAGCCGTCTGTCCCCTACATCCGTTCAAATTGCAGAATTTACACAGATCTCTCAGCTCTGAAAAGCGGGCATGGAGGGCTGGAGTTACATTCAGTGAGGACAGCTCTGAGAGCTGATAGGAGGGAAGGGACACATCCCCCCATTCAAACAGCTCACAGGAAAAGAGCTGAAGCTGTCAATCACAGGTTGTGTGTTGGAGCTTCCTCTCCACACCATTTTTCCCTTGGTGTCAGAAAAACTTGAAGAGACTTATGCTGACAGCAGTGGAACGTGGCAGCAGACAGAGGTGACACTTAGTGCTCTGATACAGGTATACAATATAGAAGGATATGCTTTGTTCATATTTCATTTCTGAGGTTTTCAACCACTTTGTTCTAGTGCAACAAAAACACATATTGATCCTGCCAGAAATCTTGTGAGCTTATAACTTCCTGTGCACTACCAGTGCTGTCTGTTATCAGTTATTATTGTTCTCAGCTATGTCAGTGGAATACAGAACACCTCCCCCATGTTAACAGTAGAGAAGAAGGGAAGATGTCCAGCACAGTGGCTAAATGGTTAACACCTCCGCCTGGCAGTACTAGGGTCATTGGTTCATAATCTCACCCACAGCACCACCTACCTGGAGTTTGCATGTTCTCCCTGTGCCTGCGCGGGTTTCCTCCAGGTACTCCGGTTTCCTCCCACACTCCAAAGCCATGCTGGTAGGTTAATTGGATCATGTTTAAATTGGTCCTAGTATATGTATGTGTGAATGTAAGATAGGGAGCTTAGATTATACACCCCTCGGGGGTTAGGGACTGATGTGAATGTACAATATACAGGGTGCAGCAACATAACTTCCTTTTTTGAAATGCGTGCCATTCAGGCTGTAGCGGCCATAGCGGGGCGGGAGTCGTCTCAGGTGATAGGCGTAGTTCTAAAGTTTTTGTTCTCTTCCAGGTCAGTCATCATCATGCGTTGGAACAGTGAGCAGCGTGCGTTTGCCGTAGAGAGGCCTACTTTTCGAACGGATTTTCTGTGATCGCAACCCAACGCGCCTTCCGACATCACTTCAATGTAGCCCCGTTGGGCCGTGTCCCGGACCGGAAATCAATTGTTACGTGGGTCACTATGTTCAGGCAAACCGCGAGTACAACAAGACGAAAAGCTGGAGTCCCTCGACCCATCAGATCACCTGAGAACATCGAAGCAGTGAGAGCTTCAATCTTGTGATCCCCGCAGCATTCTGCATGCAAACATGTGTCTCCCCTTGGTCTTTGTTTTAAGGGAACACTTCCCGAAGCGCCTCATCTCAATAAGGGGCAATTTGGAGTGGCCAGCCCGCTCCCCCGATTTGGCCCCTTGCAACTTTTTTTTGTGGGGTTTTTTGAAATCCTGCGTTTATGTAAACCGTCCAAGGACCCTACAAGACCTGAAGGCCAACATCCGCGCAAAAATTGCCAACATACCCGCTGCTATGCTGGTAAGGGTCATGAAAAACGCCAGAAATCGGCTTATTCGGTGTATGGACAATGGGGGGGGCGACACCTACCTGATATGATTTTCAAAACTGTGTAAAACAGAACTTTAGATATGTACCTACATTATTAAAGACAATAAAAACAATTCTGATTCATAAAATGGGTTTTATTGCATTTTGAAAAAAGGAAGTTATGTTGCCGCACCCTGTATATGTAAAGTGCACTATATAAGTACCTGTAATAAATAAATAAATAAGATGTTTTACAGTAGTCTGGTGCTAGGATAAAAAATGTATAAAAAGGCAATTGTTTATAATACACAGTGCTTTTGCAAGGAATATGCTATTCAGGTAGGTTTACATCTATGTCAGATACAGAAAATTGCAATGAATTTCTTTTTTGGTTTAGGTTTGGCCTTTATTTTCTATATAGGTATTCTATAATGTTGCTGGTAAAACAACATCCATTGAACAAAAAGAGAGAACTGCCAGGGATGCACAATGTATTAATATTTATGATAAAATAAATAAATAACAAATCACCTTATTGATGTATTATTCCATTACCAGCCTCTCTCAATGGGTACAGCTTTACTTGGCAGTTCCCAAGAAGATAAGAAGATGGGTAGAAGCTGTACGCATACTGAACAGGAGCAATGAGCTACTGTACATACCAAACTGACAGAGCCTGGAATAAATTGGGTTTCTGTGAGACGTGCAAGTATCACCTATGGGGCCGGAGGAAATTCGCTCACGGTTTTTCTACTACTATTAAGCTGAACTCCAGGATAAATAGATATTGTCTAAATACAAGAAGTACGTATATTCTTCCTTGAAACTTGCTGTTCTTTGTGTATTTCTTCCAGATGTGTGCGCTAAGGATGACATTGCTGCTAATTCTGCAATGTAAAGATGAGCTTGGAAGAACATTGGGTTCTCACAAAGTGGATTTATATCCTCATATACTTTATGTTCTGACCAGGGGCGGACTGACAACTCATGGGGCCCCCGGGTAATAGGGGATCATGGGGCCCCTGTGTCCTTGCCCAAACTCAAAAAAGCCTATAAAAAAGGTACCAGGGGCATCTCATGGGGCCCCCTACTGACCCTGGGCCCTCGGGCAGTGCCCGAGTTTCCAAATGGTCATTCCGCCCCTGGTTCTGACCCCTAGTTCACACTAGCCGCACACTGTGGGCTGGTTGCAGGTGTGAGAATTGATGCGATTCCTGCACCGGCAATCACTTTCCGACGCATTGTGTTTCTCTTGCACAATGTGCATTCTGAATAGCATCTCCATGCATCTCATCCTGCAGTGCCGCGATCGTGTGTGTCCGGGAACTGCGTGGAAACTGTATGGTCTTTTTTCCGTGCGGATGCGTTTTGGAAAAGGTGCGTGCACCTTTTCCTTGCGTTAAAAAGCAATAGGCTGCTGTGTCTGCACAAACCCTGCACTAGGGACTGATATATATTGAGGTTAATATTTAACCACTTGCCCTCCAGAGGATTTACCCCCTTTCCTGACCAGGCCAGGGGCAAACTGACCATTTGGAAACTCGGGCACTGCCCGAGTGCCCGGGGTCAGTAGGGGGCCCCATGAGATGCCCCTGGTACCTTTTTCATAGGCTTTTTTAAGTTTGGGCAAGGACACAGGGGCCCCATGATCCCCTATTGCCCAGGGGCCCCATGAGTTGTCAGTTCGCCCCTGGACCAGGCCATTTTTTTTCAATACAGTACTGCGTTACTTTAACTGACAATTACTCGGTCATGAAACATCGTACATAAATGAAAGGGAATGGTGCCCACTGAGCATGTGCGAGTTGCGCTGCGTCTTCTAGTTGGTCCAGCAGTCTTCTAGGACCTGTGAAAGTTCCCAGGAGATTACGGGAGGGAGGAGGGAGCTGAACTTCCGGCTCACTTCGCTGCGGTGAACTGAACCGGAAGTGGGAGTGGGTACCTGTCAAACACAGGTATCCGCTCCCCCCCAAAAGGTGCCAAATATGGCAGTGGAGAGGGGAGGAGGCAAATAACCGGAGATTCTGCTTTTAAGTGCAAGTGAAACACGATGCGTCTGCAAGTGGTTACGGGTGCAGGAATCTATGAGAGAGACTATGCATTGTCAATTTTTCTTGGCACTGGTGGTGAGTGGAATACTGAAAACATAAGGATAGAAACAAGGCTGATTGACATTATTGTTTTGATATTCTTAGTGACAACCATATTATTATTATTATTATTATTATATTGACTCTCTTTATGTCACCTATTTACTACAGGAAGGTGACCAGCACCCTACTTCTACTATACGGCATGGACACCCCTACATTCTGTACTACATAATAAGGGAGCAGGGGCGGACTGACCATTTGGAAACTCGGGCACTGCCCGAGGGCCCGGGGTCAGTAGGGGGCCCCATGAGATGCCCCTGGTACCTTTTTCATAGGCTTTTTTAAATTTGGGCAAAGACACAGGGGCCCCATGATCCCCTATTGCCCGGGGGCCCCATGAGTTGTCAGTCCGCCCCTGTAAGGGAGTTATATGGTCCGCATGCTGGCGGTGAAGAATCCCTATATTTCATTGGCAGGCCCCTGCCACTTCAACTACAGATGGCGGATGTTATATGGAGATATTACCACGGTCACTAAGTTTATTTCCTAATATAATTATGGACATGACTGTCTCAGTATAAGATCTTACCACCCATCGTGCCTACTAGTGCTCCTTTTATGAATCATCAACAATAATGTATTATATAGCACAGCCATAGGCCATTAAGCCTGCATTAGTAGGTTCAATTTCACTGCATATGTCTCTCATTAGTTATTGCCCCAATTAGATGTTGATGTATAATATCGGGTTCCTTCTCCATCCTTAACTGGTACCTATGTATATATTACTGCATGTCTGATATATCGCCTATTATGGTACAATTTTTTGAATACGTCCCCTACATGGTGGTGTTACCTATGTGTCAGTGCTGCAAGCGTACTAGACCAATTGTCATTACATTTGCAGCACTATATATTCATGACCGGTCATGATGTCTGTTTTTAATTATTTTTTGGTTTTAGGTCATACTTTTCTGTATGGTCTCATTTTGTGGTGATGGCTAACTGAGGTATTTACCTAATTGTCTATATATGCAAATTTTGTAATAAAGCATAATTTTTGGAAATTTTTGGGTATCGCTTTCTGTTCATGATGTAACCGCTTTTCTTGTGAATCCCTTTTCACATCCCCCCTTCTTTTGATGCTTGGTTTTTGGTTACTTGGCAGATGATATACATTCAGTGATACATTTAACTTATGGTGCCTCTTGCTCTTTTTGGTCATTGCTTCCTCATGCCAGAGCTGCCCCACCAATCACTGGTGATCTAATGACTAGTAAAGGAAAATTCAAGAAACATAAGGAAAGGTGGAGGAAGCACCGATCCACCTAATGCATTAACCACTTACCTACCAGGCACTTTTACCCCTTTTCTGCCCAGGACAATTTTCAGCTTTCAGCAATGTCACACCTTGAATGATGATTGAGCCATCATGCAACAGTGTACCCATATGGAATTTTTTGCATTTTTTTTCACACAAATAGTGTTTTATTTTTTGCTAGACAAACATAAAAAGACAAACATGTTTTTTTCTTGGTTTCTATTATAAAATTTTAGAAACAGGTAATTTTTCTTTTTTACTGATGTGAGGCTGCACTGATAGGCAGCACTGATGGGCACTGATAGGCTGCACTAATGAGGTGACACTGTTAAGAAGCACTGATGGGCACTGATAGGCAGCACTGATGGACACAAATAGGCAGCACTGATTATCACTGATAGGCAGCACTGATGAGGCAGCACTGATGGGCATTGATGAGGAGGCACTGATGAGGCTGCACCCTCCCTTGACCCCACCAACCTTAACAACCTCAGACCCATCTCCTTGTTGCCCTTCACTTCCAAGCTCCTTGAGCGCCTGGCCTACAATCGCCTAAGCGCCCACCTCACTGATAACAACCTCCTTGACCCCCTACAGTCTGGCTTCCGTCCCTTGCACTCCACCGAAACCGCCCTACTTAAAATTACCAACGACCTGCTAACCGCCAAAGCCAATGGCCACTATTCTATCCTCCTGCTCCTCGACCTCTCCGCGGCCTTCGACACTGTTGACCACCCTCTCCTCCTTGCCTAACTGCACTCCCTTGGCATCAAGGACGCTGTTCTCTCCTGGTTCTCCTCCTACCTTTTCCCAACGCTCCTTCAGCGTCACCTACAACACTGCCACCTTCCCCTCTCTGTCGGGGTCCCCCAAGGCTCTGTCCTCGGGCCCCTCCTCTTCTCCATCTATACCTCCTCCCTTGGCAAACGTATTCACTCCCACGGCTTCAATTACCACCTCTATGCTGACGACACCAAAATTTACCTCTCCACCCCCCACGTCACCCCCTCATTCTCTGCCCGCATCGCCCACCTCCTAAACGACATATCAGACTGGATGTCGCTCTATTTCCTCAAAACCGAGCTCCTGGTCTTCCCCCCACCCCCCGTACCCCCCCCCCCATCTTCTCCATCACTACTAACAACGCCACCATCTCTCCCACCCCACACGCCAAAGTCCTGGGTGTCACCCTGGACTCCCACCTCTCCTTCCTACCCCATATCCAACTGCTATCTAGATCTTGCAGGCTCCACCTCTGCAACATCTCCAAGATACGCACATTCCTCACCCCAGACACCACCAAACAACTCGTACACTACCTCATCATCTCTATCTATTGGGACTTTTTTATATATATATATATATATATATATATATATATATATATATTTTTTATACAATTTCACTGTATACACAGTTTCATGTCATTGTATATGTGCTATTTTTAGCACTATTGTCGTTTAAGCACCTTGTATTTACTTATTGGTTTATTTGGGATTTAGTCACTGGTAGAGGGATATAATTGCCAGCCCACTGGGCTGTATAGCACATTTGTGGGCACCCTTTGTGTAGTAGGGAGTTCATTCATTTATTTAATTAATTATTTAAAGTAGTCTTTGGGAGAGGAAGAGCAGCAATTTTTATGTTTACGTTAAATGGACTGTAGTGCATTTCTGCGAAATGCAAAATGCACTAAAATACGCATAGGTGTGAACCAGGCCTAAGGGTCAGAAATAGAGCATACATTATAGAGGCCATTGAGCAAAGTGGAAGCCTTGTGTTATTAACTCTTTATAGGGCATGAGCAGGGGCGGACTGACCATTTGAGCACTCGGGCACTGCTCGAGGGCCCAGGGTCAGTAGGGGACCCCATAAAATGCCCCGGCACCTTTTTTATAGGCTTTTTGGGTTTGCTTTGAGTGTGGGCAAGGACACAGGGGCTCCATGATCCCCTATTGCCCCGGGGCCCCATGAGTTGTCAGTCCGCCCCTGGGCATGAGACGAGATTCTGACCTTGTTCCATAATAGGAGCAGCCCTTATGAAAAGGCAGCTTGCTGGTCAGTCTGTTGCCTTTCAGTTCTCTAATAATGTCCTCAATTTTCATCTGTTTCCCGGATATATCTGTATAGTTAAACACTTGCTAATTACCTTGGTGAGCTAGTTTCCTGGGTCCTGTCAGTGATGAATACAAACCATCTCGTCTCTCTTATCTGGGTCTGACTTTTTATCCTTCCATCTGGAACTGCAGCCACTAATGAATTCATGATTCTTCTCCACACACTGTCTCCTTAACAATGTATCACAATGTATTACAATCTGTAGCGCTAAATATCTTACCTTGTCCTTGCCCACTGATGTGTCAAAGAAGGACAAAAGTTAGGGAATGACTAATCATTGGAATATATCTGGAAAATACATTTTATTTAAAGTGAACGCCCCTCCCTCTTTAGCTTCTATTTCAAAGGTTTGATTAAACTGAAGAATTGATCTTGCTTTTTTTCTCGAGCAAATGTAATCTTTTATCTTTACAGTGAAAGCAAAATAGAAGTTTCTGTAGAGTTTCAGTAGCTCTGTATTGGAATATAGTATCATAGGACCTCATAGTGCTCTCAGTTAGAAAGGGACATCTGCTGCAAGCTGAATACCTAATCATATTATATATTAGAATTGTCTTTTAAATGTAAGGATAATGTCAATGACAAATATCTAACCTCAACTGTAAATTAAAAGTCTGCTTTTATTTTAATCTCAATCTTGTTGCATAGCTTGCTTAGTTGCTAAAATAACAGTCCACCTATAAATCTGATTCCCATTTAATGTGGAGTAGATTTAGATGCATCTCTTTGACAGAGAACTCTAAACTCATACAGCTCACCCTACTAATAAATATAAGGTTCTGCCTGGGGCATATTTACCACAAGGCAAACAAGGCATTTACCTAGGGTGGCAGTTTTCAGGGGGGCAGCACCACCCACTGGAAGAAGTTATACTTGCGTCATGGGGACAAGGTGGGTACCGAGAGAGGCTGCGGGCTGCTTGATGGTGTATGCAGAGCCTGACTCTCATTCCCAGGGATGTCCAAAGCTGTGAAGGTGAGTGTCTTTTTCATGTGTGTTAGTGGAAAGTTCTCTTGGGTGGGGAGGACAGGGGTGTTGTTGGTCGTCTGATTTTTGTGTTGCCTAGGGCAGCACAAAATCTAAATATGCCACTGGGTTCTGCCTGTGTTAAGATTGGCTATTTACAGCACCCACACTTACCTTTGCTAAAGTGACAATGTCATGAGAATCATGGAACATGGCTTCTCTGACCATTTATTCTGAAAATGCTTTGCTGACCGTTATGTTGATGCAGTGACTTAAAGTGTTACTAAACCTACAACAGTGAAATCGGGATGTATATGCAGCAAAGCGTGCTTGTTATCTATGCCCTATCCTATTAAAGGATATGACCTAATAACCATGGTGTAAAGTAGCACAAAAAATATAAAGTGACACAAGAGAAATATAATAAAGTAAACACCCAGCTGACCCCCTGCCAATCGGTGTAAAAAAAAGTACAGGTAAGGCACTAAACACGTGACAAAAGATGTGATCATAAATCATACATGAATAAATGATAATAAAAATACACAGAGACTAAAAAGTGAAATGGCAACAATAAAGTTCATAAAAGTGACAGTCCGTAATGACAGTAAATCCTCAATATGTAATTCCATGAATCTTCCCCTTTGGTGTACTGTGATATCCACCACCACCAGGCATGCATGCTCACCTCCACAAGTTGACCCACATCACATAGGTCAGACTAGGCATAACTCCAATTCCTCATTCCTCTGTGTGTCCTGGCAGTTGGAAATTCCACCTCACCAGAACCCACAGGGTATCATATTCAAATATACAATAAAAGAAAGGGGCTCCTCATAGTGCAGTAAAGTTAGATTTATTAAAATTCTCAAATAATTCAAAGAATGCACTCACATAAAATATAAGGGCTATTCACCCCCAAACAGCATGGGTAAAGGTAAACAAAGATGGCGGCGATCGTCGCCGTACCGGAAATTACATCACCTGCGTTCTTCCCAGGGGTTATACTCACTGTGGAACCTAAG